ACATAGCATCATAATCGCGAGCATTCACCACGAAAATCTCGTCCAAGTCCTGTCCGAAGAACCCGGGACCAGTCACATCAACTCTTGCCTGCCATTTCTGCATTCTATGCACAAGAACCCGGCCTGAGCCATCAAGTTCTGGCAGATCCGATTCAGAAGTCGGCCCAAGTTTCTGGGAGCAAAGTCCTGCGAGTCCCGGCGGTAGCGGAGCATGACCAGGTCGGTTCAGGTTCAACAGATTCAGATTGGATCGGACTCCCCCGTCAATTGATGATGCAGCCGAGTGGCTGCGTAGATAAAGGTCCCCGGCAAAGCAGTGCTTTGCTTACCCTTATCGAAGCCGCCCAATCGCCTGGCGCTCAGGCTTCGGAACCTCAGAAAACCCCGCGGATGTGGCAAATGAGAACCGCATGTGCAGGACCTTCGACCAAATTATGGAGAGCAGCATCGGCAGCATCTGTGCTGCCATGTACCGCATGCACCGGATGACGAAGCGGTCGTGGCCAACAAGCACCATCGGTTTCCTCGGAGTATGGACAACATCAACCAATGACAAACCCAAGCACTGATCCAAAGGCAATAAACCAAGAGGCTGTCCATGGCCTCCGAAAGAGGCCATCGTGATGGTCTCCTTCAACATCTCGAGGTTGTCCCACACCTCCTGTGGAAACAAAGAATGAGTCAAATGATGAGCAGCTGCTTTCAAGAATGGTCAAAGCCTCTCCTGCGTGCGTGGGTGCTGCCGAAATGTTTCCCAAAGGTCATAGGGCAGCTGGAAAATGCATCGCACCGATATCATCTTGCAGAAGACCATCATATTGATCAAGAAGCCCTGAAGATGAAAATCTTTTCAGCTCCCTCTCCATTCTAAGGTGCAGACAATAATTGGAGCCAAGTTTCCATCGCTTTCTCCAGCTCCGGCTTGTCACGAATGGATCGAAACGGCCTTGGTTCAAACCAAGAACTTGCTCTTCGATCTATGTGCCCCAGCACAACAACCTATTGTGGCGAGGCACATTGCGAAGAAAAGGCCGCCGGGATAAAGTCGCGAAATCATGCTCATGCCTAAGCAGGACGAAACAATACTGTATGATCCACAGACAGACCTGCAACCCAGTGGCAGATGCATTGGCCCCTTTCGTAGCGAATGTCCTCGGAGGCGTCCATGTCGCCGTTAAGCGTCGCCGTCGAAAGCCCCTCCTGAAGGGACGAATCTTAAACAACCAAAGTATCAGCCTATTTTTTATCCGTAGTCTCTCAAAGACATACCAACTGAGCACAACACCTCCCGAAAGGCCATCTCGATGCCAACATTATAATCCAAATAGTGCAGATACCGGTCCGGGCTGTGGTCTCCGTGGTAGCTATCCGATAAGCACCATGGGCAGACCTTTTCCACCCGCTCATGGAAAGCCACCATGCCCGCCATGCCTAGAATCTGAATCACTGAATGCTGAAGTCGCTCCGAAGTCTTTTCTTATCATGAAACATGAGGGCCTCAAATCTCTGAGCCAGCACGCTGTTTTGTTAGAAGCACGTTCGCCCAGCCAGCATGCGAATCGAAAGCTCTGAATATAGACTTAGTGTTGCGGCAGAGACATCGGCTTTGAAGGAAAAGCAAGGCTTTGCATCTGCGCACCACATCTCCTGTCTCCAGTCTTCATGCAGATGAAAAGACAAGACCGAACACAGCAATAATTTAATGCTTACAACGTCAAGAAAAGCCGTGAACTAAGGACTATGCTGCCGTATACTATACCTGAAGCATTGTTGGGATCGATTGCAAGCAAGTAAGACTGTATGTTTGAATTACGCCTGTTGCTTTCAGCGATTCAAATTTGGCAGACAGCCTTCGCAGTTTGCCGCCGGAGAAACTCGATGGAATAGTCCGGGTTATGCGTCCTCAGTATCATCCCAGTGATTCCAACATCCTTTAGGTCACAATCTCAAGTCATAGAAACCCAAAATCAGTTCAGGTATTCCCTGAAATGAAATGGTTTGCATGGAGTCCGTACTCAGCGGTAATGAAGTAGAGTATAGCGTGGGCTGATGGGGCCTGGGGTGCATGAGGATCTTACACTTAAGAGTCTTCTGGAGCCCGGATATCGAGATTAACATCGGAGCCCTCTAACTCCAACCTTACACCTTCAGCCAGCCCACATGCTTCGAACTACGATTGAACTCCAGGAAGCATAAGCAGCTAAACCGTAAACCATCAAACCTTCATCTGAAGCATTGAACTGCGAAGACGAAAGCCTCCAATCCAAATACGCCATCATCTCTGCACATAACAAGAAGAAAGCCTAACACCTTTAGGCAACTAAAGTTGGGGTATCTGATGGCATCTGCATCCCAAAGGCGCGATGCGGGCAGAGTAGGCAGCGTACCTTAGCATTTTCGGATCGACAGCAGCGATTTAGCTGTCAAGCGGTAAAACTGTGCTATCGTGAAGCTTCGGCCCTTTTGCTGCTCAGAAACGGTTTAGAGTTTAGGGTTTA